AAGATGATCTCTCCTTTAAAAATGAACATCATGAGAAATCACCATTGGGCTTGCTAGTAAAAATAAGTTGGCCTCAAATTAGTTCAAAAATTTGTCAGCATTGATTTTTTTTTTTACCTAATTTTTATTAATTTCGGATCGGATTATCGGATCGAATATCCGATAATATAGCAAATCGGATATGGATTTAACAATCAAATATCCGTTGGATTATCGGATCGAATAATTTTCTTATCGGATCGGATGATATAGGCATATCCAATCCATATCCGATCCATTTATAACCCTAGTAACAATTAGAAAGATCACAAATAACGAAATCAAAACCATGAAGGGGAAATTAGGCCCAGTACGGCCTAAAATCCATAAAATCGAATAATACGTTCAAACTGTCCAAACAGTAAATTGTACGCTCAAACTGCCCAAATTGATGAAAAGAAATCATTTACAGCAACAATAAAACCCTAACCCACTCACAACGCGCCCAAAGCCATCGCCTCACTTCGCTGTCCCCTAAATTGAAACCAAATCTGGATACCGTCTCCAAAGCCATCGTCTCCCTTCACAATGGTGAGACAACACCGCCACACCCATCTCCACCTCCGGCCGGCACCCCCAATCACACCATGGAATCACACAGGAGAGAAGAAGAGTATCTGCCACCGACACGACCACACTTACCTCCCTTTTACAGGGAAAATGCGCCGCCACCTTCCTATTACGGTGAAAATCCGCCACCGCCTCCCTTTTACGGCGGAAATGCTCCACTGCCTCCCTATACGGGGAAAATGAGCTTCCCCCTCCTCGACCATCGCAAGTCCGCCACCGGTACGACAACACTTGCCTCCCTTTTACAAGGAAAATGCGCCACCACCTCCCTATTACAGTGAAAATCCGCCATCGCCTCCCTTTTACGGCGAAAATGCTCCACCGCCTCCCTATACGGGAAAAATGAGCTTCCCCCTCCTCGACCACCGCAAGTCAGTAATGTTTATCACAACTCCCATACAGGGGGAGCAGAGTATCCTCTGTCTCCACCAACCGGCTTGATTAATAGTTATTAGCTGAACTGGTTATTTGAGTTATGTTCGTAATTTGAACGGTACAAAACTTTGTATTTGCTATTGGAAAATGGGTGTAATATATGTTCATTTTGTTATCCATCTCTACATTATTTATATGTTTCGATAGGCTAAGAGGCAATCTTGTTATGTGCGTAAAGATGAATGCTATATGACATTGTTCTACGTGGTTCACTTGAGCAGGGATTTTGATGGAATTTAATTGGTTTTTGATGGGTAATCCTTTGTGATTCCGGTGAAAACTGAGTAATTCACTTTTTTTGAATGTGTGCGCCTTTTTTAATGTGTTATTTTTTTAAATTCATCACTTTTTTGAATTTTTGTCACATTTTTTTGTGTTTGTCACTTTTTTCAGTCGCCTTCTTAAAATTTCACTCATTTTTTTAGTAACAAACATCACTTTTTAATAAAAGTGAGATTGTAAAATGAAATTAAACTTTTAAACAATTTTATCACTTTTTTGTGTGTGTGTGTAACTTTTTTATTCTTTTCACTTTTTATTGTTTGTTACTTTTTAAAAATTTTTATCACTTTTTTGAATAACAAACATAGGTTTTGATTGATGTTTTGTCATTTTTTTAAGTATTTGTCACTTTTTTGAATTTGTATCACTTTTAGAGTATCACTTTTTTTTAGTTTGTGTCATTTTTTTACTAAAAAGTAAAAAAGTGACAATTTTTATAAAAAAAAGTGACATTGTGTCACTTTTTCATTTTACATAGTATT